AAAACCCAAGGCAGCTGGGGATACATAGCTCAGTGGTAGAGCACTTGGCTAGCAATCCGTAGAATAGGAAGGACAGGCAAAAAGACAAAAAAAAAAAAAAAATTAAGGAATGGGATCAGTTTAAATTAACCCTCTATCAGGTAGTGGTGCATGCCTTTAGTCCCCTTTAATTCCAGTACTCAGGAGGCACAGGCAGGTGGATCTCTGAGTTTGAGGCCAGCCTGGTCTACAGAGAAAGTTCCAGGACAGCCAGGGCTACACAGAGAAATCCTGTGTAGAAAAACAAAAAAATTAATCCAATCTCTGAGATGAAAGACAAAACAGGCTGATGAGTCTCAGGGATAGGGTTTTTTCTAAATCAAACAAATTTTATCCAAATTCGTTTGGATAAAATAAGTACCAGAAAAATTAGCTGTCATCTTCTAGGGAAACAGTCTTGAGATCTTGGCAGCATCAGTAAGTTTATAACACACTATTCTATTATAGAAATGAAAAGCCTACTTTTGAGTTGGCTTCAACACTTCCTCATTGTTATGCAGGAAGACGACAGGTGCAGGCCCAAGTTTGTCTCCCTTGTCCTCTATCAACAAGAGGGATGAGCTAGAGTTTTTCAAGACAGGATTTCTCTGTGTAACAGCCCTGGCTGTCCTGGAACTCATTCTTGTAGACCAGGCTGGCCCCAAACTCACAGAGATCCACCTGTCTTTGTCTCCCAAGTGCTGGGATTAAAGGCGTGCACCACCACCGTCCGGCTAACTAAACTCATTTTTTTAACTAAGTATTAAAGTAAAAGGTCTGGGGCTAGAGAGATAGCTCAGCAGTTAAGATCATTGTCTATTCTTCCATAGGACCCAGGTTCAATTCCCAGCACCCATATGGAAGTTTACAACTGTCTGTAGCTCTACCTCCAGGGGATGTAAAGCCCTCAAACAGGCATTCATACAAGCAAAATATCAATGCACATAAAATAAAAATAAGTAGGGCTAGAGAGATGGCTCAGTGGTTAAGACCATTGCCTGCTCTTCCAAAGGTCCTGAGTTCAATTCTCGGCAACCACATGGTGGCTCACAACCATCTGTAAAGAGGTCTGGTGCCCTCTTCTGGACTGAAGGCATACACACAGACAGAATATTGTATACATAATAAGTAAATAAATATTTAAAAAAATAAAATAAAAATAAGTATCATTCAAAAGAAAGAGCACTTGTTACTCTTCTAAAGGACCTGGATCTGGTTCGCAGCACCACTTACACAATGGCTCACAATCATCTGTTAACTCCAGTCCCAGAGAAGCCCTCTTCTGGCTTCAAAGGGACCACATGCATGTGGTTCACAGACACATATGCAGGCGAACACTCATACAGATACAATAAAAATAAATCTTTAAAAAAAAAAAATCTGTCTGCGGGGGCTAAGTGGTAATGACTCAGTGGTTAAGAGCATTGCCTGCTCTTCCAAAGGCCCTGAGTTCAATTCCCGGCGACCACATGGTGGCTTACAACCATCTGTAATGAGGTCTGGTGCCCTCTTCTGGCCTGCAGGCATACATGTAGAAAGAATATTGTATACGTAATAAATAAATAAATAAATATAAAAAAAATTCTGTCTGCAATAGGATACACCAAATCTGAGGAGATGGTCAAGAGTCTGTATCCACAAATGCCTAAAGATAAACCATAGATTTTATAAGAATACATTTGCTATATTCATAGTTTAAGGCAGCCTTTTAAATAAAACCAACTAGCCTGACCTGGTGGCACATGTCTGGAATCCCAGCACCTGGGAAAAAGCTAGGAGGATCAATCAAGTTCAAAGCAGCCTGGTTTACAAAGGACATTCCAGGTCAGCTAGGGCTGACCAGTACAGAAATACAACCTGTGTCTTTCTTTCTCAGACCTCAAAAGTAAACTGCACAAATGAAAAGAAAGAAAATCAACTAATTACAACCAGTTGAGACAAAAAAGAACTTAGATAACCTGGTCCCAAATTCCCTATTACCCATTTCTAACCTAAAATACATGCCTAGCTTAACAAAATGTAAGAATTAAACAAGCAGGGGACATAAGAAATGAAAACCTTAGCCATTTCAAGCTGTCTGTAACTTTCAAAAAGGTAATATAAGATTTTACAACATTACTGGGCAGTGTAAGGCAAAGGCAAGCAGATCTCTGTGAGTTCAGGTCAGCCTGGTCTATCTACAGTGAGTTCCAGTACAGCAGGGCTGTTACAAAGAGAAACCCTGTCTTCAAAAACAATAACAACAAAAGATTTTACAACATCATCACTTCTGCTTTCATCAAATAATAATCAGTGAATTCAGCTATATGCCCCAATTCAATTTCTTAAAATTTTACAAAAAAATAAGATACCCAATACTCATTACCTGACTGATTCTTTCTGAAGATATTCTGCAAGCACTGTCAGATGTTGAGCACTGGGCAGATGTGGAATGTGATGTCATTTTGGCAGTGAAGACTCTGCAGTCAGCAAACTAAAAGGAAAAACATTATATATAAATGTAAAGTAGAAGAAACAATTTGGGCATGGTGGCACACACCTTTAATACCAGCACTCAGGAGGTGATCTTTGTGAGTTCAAGATCAGCCTGGTCTATACAGCAAATCTAAGGAAAGCCAGGGCCTATATAAATCCTTTCTCCAAACAGAATGAAAAAGAAGATATAACTGCCAGCAATGGTTTAAAAAAAAAAAATCTGACAAATACACATATATCTCTGCACAAATGCAAAATACTCACACTGAGATTCTCAATCTCTAGTTCAGATCCAGCACAAACGCTGGAGACAAAACCATCCAAGCCTCACTCAGGTGAATCCTGAAACAGAGACAGGTCTGGACGTGTTGCACTTTCAATGCTGATGCTAATGAGTGAGTTGTTCTAGCTCAAAGTCAAATTTCCAATCACTGCTTCCCCCACTGGCTGTCAGGTGGTACCAGTAACTCTTAAGCACAATGCTTAAGATAAGAGCTAGAGACACATCTGGAAAATCACCAAGACTGGTGTTCCAACATGCCTGGACAAGAAACCACACAGGAAAGTGAGCCTGGTAATCTTGTAGGGCAAACTGGTAATCTCAGCATTGGGAGTTCAAGGCCAGCCTGAGGTACACAGTAAGACCTTCTCAAAAACAAAAAGTTTTTTAAAAACCATTTTGGGTATCACTTAGAGGAATTTCTAAAGGAATCAAACTCAATTAGGTCAAAAGTTGCTTCCTTGGAGAAGATTTTGCTGACTCCAAGATGGAGAAAGTGATGATACCAGAATTAAGAAGTTGTGAGAACGTATATGTTATTCCTTGGAAACTACAGCTCCCAGACTCCTCCTGGAGTACGAACACCTTGGCACGCTGGCGTGCCCAGGTGCGGGTCATTCCTCCCAGATAACCTTGCGCCCCCCGTTAAA